GCGGTATTTTGGGGTTCCCCTGCTGCTGTTGGGATCCCCAGGTCCCTCGTGTTCCCCTGGGGTCTCTCTGCAACTCTTGGGGTCCCCTATGTCCTTCTCGAGTCGCCTCGGGGTCCCCACTGTGCCACTGGGGTGTCCCCACTGCACCCCGAGTGCTCCATCGGGGTCCCCACCCTGTCACTGGGGTGTCCCCACTGCACCTGCAGTCTTCCATCTCCCTTCAGGTTCATCCCTGGGGTCCCCCCTGCCACTCCTAGGGTCCCCCAGGTCACCTCTGGGTCCCCACCCTGTCACTGAGGTGTCCCCCCTGCACCCCATCTCCCTCCAGGTTCATCCCTGGGGTCCCCCCTGCCACTCCTGGGGTCCCCCAGGTCCCCTCTGGGTCCCCACCCTGTCACTGGGGTGTCCCCCCTGCACCCCATCTCCCTCCAGGTTCATCCCTGAGGTCCCCCGTGCCAGTCCTGGAGTACCCCAGGTCCCCTCAGGGCGATGGCGACGTCTACAGAAAGGGACTTGGGGGATGTGGGGCAGGAAGATGGGGCAGATTTTGTTAGGGGGGCAGTTGTGGGGCAGCAAGAGGCCAGATCTCACCGTGGGGCAGGGATTTGGGGGCAGTTGTGGGGCAGATCTTTTTGGGGCAGCAGTTATGGGGCAGAGAAGAGCGAGATCTCACCCTGAGGAGGAAATCCCACCACAGCACGTATCTCTGGGGCAGGAAAACGTCCGCATGTCCCCCAGGGAAGGGTCCCAAGCCAAACCTCACCCCCTAAGCACCCCTAAGGGCCCCCTATTTTTCTCCCTGCCCCCTAACAGTGCACCTCAAGCGCCACTTCATGTTCCGCAACCACCTCTGCCTGGCCTTCGAGCTCCTCTCCTACAACCTCTACGACCTCCTCCGCAACACCAACTTCCGCGGCGTCTCCCTCAACCTCACCCGAAAGTTCGCCCAGCAGCTCTGCGCCGCCCTCCTCTTCCTCGCCACCCCCGAGCTCAGCATCATCCACTGCGACCTCAAACCCGAGAACATTCTCCTCTGCAACCCCAAACGTTCCGCCGTGAAAATCGTCGACTTCGGGAGTTCTTGTCAGCTGGGGCAGAGGGTGAGTGGGGGAACCGCCTGTGGACCCGCCCACCCCCCGGGATGAGGGGGGCAACCGCCTGTGGACACGCCCCCCCCCTTTGGCTCCGCCTCCCAGGCTGGGAAGACCCGCCCCTGCAGGGTGGAGCCCTGCCCCAGATGGGTTTGGGGCTATGGATCACTAAACCCCGCCCTTGGAATGAATAAGCACCGCCCCCAGGCTGTAAAGACACACCCCTTGCTTTGGCTCCGCCTTCTAGGCCAGGGAGACCCGCCCCTGGGATGCAGAGTCCTGTCCCAGATGGGTTTGGGGCTATAGACCACTAAGCCCCACCCCCTGCAGGAATAAGCACCGCCCCCAGGCTGTAAGCGCACACCTCTTGCTTTGGCTCCGCCTCCTGGGCTGGGAAGACCCGCCCCTGGGATGCTGACTCTGACCCTAGGCAAGTTTGGGGGCATGAACCACTAAGCCCCGCCCCCCAAAAGCTTAAGCCCCGCCCTCTGGGTTGGAAGGACA